TTCAACAATCCAATTCTTGTGTATTATGTTTAGAACACGACAGTCGATAACATCGCCTGTGCTTACTTCACGAAAAAAATTACACATGCAGCAGTGCGAAATTGAAGAAAATGCATTATTCATTTTTGCTTGTCCCGTCATTTTCACACCAGAATTTTCACGCTCATCTGGTTCCTCAAAAGGGGGATAATCCAATGTAGAATAATGTACGTGCTATACCATCAGTGTAGACTGTAGAAGAAGGAATCTCTGAATTTCAGTGTCTATACAGGATACAGGGTATCTGAATATAGTGTGTCTTTGTATTAAATTTTTTGAAAAATCTCTCTCTAGGAAAGTTACACCGTTCTGAAAATGCAAAAAGTTGTTTTTTTTATCTCCCCACGAAGGGCCATCTCCTTCACCTATTCGAATTTTTTTCTGTATCAGTTGGGGAAGACCACTGATTTTTCAAAACGACATTATCGTGAACTATATACTGAGAAACTACCAGTGAATTAATTTTGAATTTTTTCATTCATGCTAAGACGATGAAAAAAATAAATTAGTATATATGTCCATTTCAAAACACACAATTCCTGCGCCATTTGAAATTTCATCAATTCATTGGTGTGACTGGTGCGACGTCTTAGTCCCAACACGCCTATTGTCCTTGAACTGACCAATTACACTGCAACACTGCAGAATGACGAGGTATCAAAGAGAGATAGCTAAAGTTCGGGACTAATACGTCACGACTCCACCATCATATTTGGCTGTTTGAAATATGGAATGAAATATGCTGAATTCAAAACGATATAGATTTGATTCCCTTCAACTTCAACTCATAATATTGATTGTACATAAAATGTAAATCATGATTCGTCGATTGAAAGAGGTTTGCATGGATTTCTTCTCTCAGTGGTCTTCCCCCAATGGATTGGTAAAACTAAAATAGAATGACACATTGTCAGAAAGAATAACGTGTCTCCAGAACTAAAGTATTTGTTCGATACAGATGTTCGCTCATTTTTGTTAGAAATCAATGATCCAGAATAGCATCGGTTAAAAGAATCAACATTTTTCCATTCGCCAGCGGTTAGTGTAAATCACAAATGTTTGAGATAATCCACCATTTAGTTTTTTTCAATAATGAAATTTTCGAATGCTTCACTGTTTAATTTTTTATCGCTTGGAGCGCACTAAAGGGAATCCCTATAATGTTCAAAGAACATCGTGCGTTCCTAGGGAGGATAGGGATAGGAGGTAGGTATTGGATAGATAGAGCTTTTCATCTTTGAAATGGCTTAGAGAAATCCAAAATTGAATGAAATTTGATAAAGACAGCCAAGGCAGTCAATCTGCATTTGCTGCCGTGTGAAACATAGAACACTTTCCCCAAATAATATAAAACCAATTTTGTGTAATTTTTTTATTGAAATCCCCATCATTTTGAGTTCATGTCAGTGTCAATTGTATTACTAATTTCATTAGAATTTCTTGGAACGTTGCATAGCAACAATCTTTTTCTGCCTAGGCAGTAAATGTACACCTTGTCTGCCTGTCAAGCAACAGGAAAAAGCCACTATCCCTGCCGCTTGAGGAAAAATCTAATTTTCTTATTCGTCAGCGGTTTTTGTACTTCACAAATGTTTGACCGACTCCACCATTTTGTTTTGTTTTTTTTTTCAAATATGGAATTTTCAAATACTTCATACTACAAAATGACGCCAAGAAATTCAAATGCGGTTGAAAAATGATGAAACCACGAGGATAAAATCTTCCGTTTTTTTTGTGGCCACCTCAAGACCACCCGATATATACTGATAATCATGCTGATATCTATCGGAAAAATTACTAAAGATGGACGAAAAAGGTAGATATCTTCGAATCAAATTATAGAAATTTCGTCTGGGTTTCTGTGAAGTAGAGTGCTGTATATTCAGTTCCATCTATCGGTGTAATTATGTAGTACAGACTGAAGGCTTGACAAAATGCAGAAATCTATAATTTATTTTTACAGATGTCTACTACTACTACTACTTTACAGATGTCTGTATAAACCATAATTCCGCTTGTTCATGTCGATACCAGTTCTATAGTCGAGATGGCGCTCATTACGTATTTCATTCAAGGTTAGTAGAGCTGATGATTATTTTGAAAAGGGTGGTTGCCTCGATTAAAGGCATTTTTGCAATTTTCAATTCAAATATTCAAAAAATACTCACAGCTGTTACGTTGACACATTTCATTACATATCATTACGTCACGATGTCACGAATTACTCGCGGTGTGGGATCGAAGCAACCTGCTTCCTCTACGAAATGATCAGCTCTACAGACCCTGTACTCTATTGAGAAAAATGTTCATTGCTGGTGAAGAAGTTTCCTTTGTTGAGGACTCATCTGAATAAGACTTTTCCAATATATAGGTACCCTCGATGAAAGTCATTGGGTGCTGCTCCTGAGGTGGTGTATATGGAGTTAGTTACAAAGCCTACACAAAACACACATGGCTGAAGGACCTCTAGTATATATCAATATTATATAATATCGGTGTTGTTCACGATAATTCTTTCCATACTCCAAACACATCTCAATCACATGTTCTTTTGATGCTTTAAAATTTTGAGAACATATATCTTTTCAGCTCCAAAATATTTCTGTTCCCTTTTGATTTCAATAAACTTTATAAATTTTTCGAAACATTCGAAAACGTTATACATGGTCAATCAGACCGGCGTCTCCACTCATGTTACCTATACTTTTTGGAGTCACCATGAACTGAGGAGTTTAGGTATACGTAATTGCAGTTTGATTTCAAAACATCATCAAACAATCATCGAAAAAAATTAGGAAGACTTCCTATTCTTTCGTATAGGTATGCCTCCAAACATTCTTGATAATTGAAGTGAAAGTAAAAGTTGCACACCTATTATACAGATCTAATATTCTAGATTTCATGCTTCTTTAGCATCATTGTTTATGATGTTCATATAACACACGTGGTGATAAAATTTTCTTTGTTTCTTCATTTCACAGCTATTAGTTGATTCACCGAAATAGAAAAAAGAAATTTTAGGTTATATTATTATAATAATATATTGTGATGCATGATGGAAGATAACAAGTCATTTGTTTTTAAGTTTTGAGATTCTATATGTATCTAGTTATATACCGTTATTCTCTCAACACCCTGTATAATCCCATGTAAATACACTTAGATCTTATAGACATATATACTTCCAGCTGCCCTCCCTCTCCCCCTCCTAGAATCAGAGCCGGACTGGGCCGCCGGGCGATCGGGCTTTCGCACGATGGATGGGTTTTGACCCTTGGTCTTGCCCTGCTGTTGCTGTTTCATTTTCGACCAGGAATTTGGTAGAAATTTGGAATTTTGTACAATTGCATGTTTATTATATTCAGTGACGTAACTAGAATTTTTCGACCTCTACGCGAAATATACATATATATAAGGAGGTTCTCCCTTCTACTTACAAACTCGGTTACTAATCAGAAATTGCAACAAAAAATGAGATAACGAGCTGAACGAGCTCTATTTTTCATTCATACTTTTACAGATATCTTGACATAATATACTCGTTCTCATCAAAGTGGAACAAATCTTCGAAATAACTTCGAATATCCTGAGTTCAAAATAAAACTCAACATTTCTTTATGGAGAAAAACAAAGCCTTGGATCACTCAAAATTCAAACTAACACATTTCAATAATCTATGGTTTCAATTTACACTTTCCTCCCTAATCGACGAATGCCGACTGATGTCCGAACTAAACAGCAGATCTTTTGAAAAAATAATGAACGTTTGACAGATAAGTGTCCCTAGATTCATTTGAAACAATAGCGTGGATCATTCGGATCAAAAGTGACTTTGTTTGACAAGCGAATTTTGCAATTGTGAGGTGGAGCGTCTAGGGAAGCCGAGCGAAAGCAAAATTTGCGAGTGTCACTTCTGATCCTAATAAAACAATCAACTATTTTCTGCAACCGACACAAAAGTCGTCCATTTCAGTACCAAAATTAGCTCTTAAATTGACATTTTTATTACTGACACAAACATAGGTATATTGATAGGCAACATTTTTAGTTTCTAGGAGCTGATTTGTCCCCGATTTCGGCAAATTTGACATTTCTTACCCATGCTGGAGATATAAATACATAATTTCGTATCTGTATTTCATTCGTTATTCTCGGGATGGATAACTTCTTTTTGAATAATCAACGCCAGCAATACTTTTTTGTCTCACACAACGATAATGTTCATCTTAATTTGATTACCGAGCCACACAGTTGAATATGGAGAGAAATGAATAATCGCTATTATTATTGTTGATATGCTCACTAACATAACATTTTCCACGTCTTGTTTCTATACCTGGCACTGGCGCGGTATTTGCTATTTGGGCTGAAACCAGGTCCAAATGAATTCATCGATTCATCGATTCAATAGAATACACAAATGAGTCACTCTGTGGTTGCATTTATCTCGGAACAACAATTCGAACATCCTTGAGAATTGAATAAACCTGATCTGTAAATGCAGATAGAATATTCTCAACACACGGATTATTCGTTGCATTGCATACATATGGCATCCATATAATTATAATGAAGGTATTATAATAATCTGTCAAGTAAATCACATTTCGGTTACAGAAAAAATAGCATATTTCACTGATCAAACAAACTGTTACTTTTGATCCTAATAAAACAATCTACTATAAAGTGACTGTCGAGGTAAATGCATCATTTCAGAATATAGGTAGGAACTGATTGGTTCACCATCTCGAAAAACAAGATCAGTGCGTGATTCCGAAAGAAAGGAAACATTTCATGCTCTTCTACCTCCGGTACTTCCTATCTGTCTCGCTTATTACTTCAAATTCATTCACTGAAAACTTATAAAAGAGCGCGACAACCGTTAAGCCGATTCACATCAAAACTTTAAATCACGTTATGCGACTGTCCATCAATGTTGTGAAATCCAAAAATCATTCGAAATGTACTACTACGAGTTTTACGTGTTATTGACAGTGGCTGTAATCAAATTCGCTCAGAGTGAAATCATGGAGAATTTGCCTAGACACAGTCGTGTTGCTCGACAGCGTGATTTTTGGTTTGGTAATGGAAACAGAAGGGTGGACCATTTTAGTGACCGAGCTAGTAGATGTGAGTTATTCTTTTTACACAAATTTCCACAATTCGACACTTTTTTACCTGTATCGATATGTTAACCACTATCTTTTTTCTGTTACAAATACATGTTGCAAGGTTAACCTTGCGAAAAAATGCCTGCAGGCATCTTCCTTCGGTAGTATGACAATACTGACATTGACATTTCGTATTTGTATCATATAAAATACACTACACACAGTTTTATCACTAACCAAACCGATTTTTCACACCTCGACACGTGTTTCGTTCGCTAACTATGTTAGCATCTTCAGGAGAAGAAGTGTTGTCTTGAAACATGAAAATGGTAGATTCAAGATCAATCATTGAAAGCATCCTGTAACTCATTTGTAGACTGAAATCACTCATTCATGACACTGAGAAGTGTCAAAATATAAGCAGAGCACTACTTCCAAAGAAAAATATTTTGCATTTTCATGTTGACAACGGGAGCAGATTCGTTCCCGAAACGTCCAAAGATAAGTGGAAATTCGATATATCTTCAATATATCTAGATTCATTTCCTTCAAACATTTTTTCGAACAAAGTGTCACTAACAAGCTACTGAATTTTTCTTTCAGGCTCCCTGAAAAATTTGTTAAACGCAGTGACATTTTGGGGAAAATCATCTGATTTGTCCCACTACAAATATATTGAAAATAGAAATGATACGCATATTTTTATTTTATAGAAACGAGGAGAGAAAATCCCAAAAAATCAAGTAAAATGAATGTACCACCTCCTCGATTAACCTACAGACAGTATTTTTCGAATGATATTGTACTTAACTCAGATAGTCAATGTTTGCATTGAGGCAAATTTTTTTCCTGAGCAATGGAAGACCTCAATCATACAGCCCATTCCTAAAGTAACCACTCCATCTTCCTATTCAGATTTCTGCCCAATAAGTCTTTTAACAACTATCTCGAAACTGTTAGAAAAGGTCATACACAAGCAAATTGAAGAATATGTGACAGAAGATAAGCTTTTGCCTGCAACACAGTCCGGCTTCAGAAAAGGTCATAGTACTGCAACTGCCCTAGCTAACATTGTGGACGATGTTGTCAGAGCCTCTGATATAAATTGTGTTTCGATTCTGGTCTTCTTTGATTTTTCTGAGGCGTTTGATACTATAAACCACAATCTACTATGTACAAAACTAAAATATTATGGATTTTCTGTTAATGTCGTGAAGTTCATAGAGTCATATCTGTCTAACCGTGAGCAAAAGATAGCGATGAATAGCAAAGTTTCATCTTCCAGGAGTATAACATCGGGTGCCCCTCAAGGGTCTATCTTGGGACCATTGCTCTTCATTATATATACTGCAGACTTAATGAGTAAAATAGAACATGCCTCTGTTCAAACTTTTATATCATTTTGCACCGTACGAATATCATATAACCGAATATAAAATTAATACCGATTTGGACAATATAAGGCTGCTATCAGATAAACATAATTTGAAGTTGAATGCGTTGAAGTCTATGTACATACTCTTCGGTAATAAAAGATGAGGCATTTCCAAAGTCAACTGAGCATTACTATTGGCGAAGATCCTGTTCCATACTTCAAAACTGTGAAGTCCTTGGGTATATTTATTGATGATGATCTAAAATTCTGGAGTGAGGTTAGGTTATAAAACTTTACACACTTATTGTTTTAAACGATTTTCCATATCTGACATTGCAGTTCTTTCACTATTCACCTTCGTCCAGTTTGACGGCCAAGATTGCCAAGCTGCTGATGGAACATACGGTACTTGTCTCAGTACTACTGCAGACTGCGCCAGAAGAGGTGGGGCCATCGCAGGACCGTGTGCAGGAGGGTATGGTACTTGTTGCATATGTGAGTTCTTATTCCATACTATAGCATTATTTATCGTGATCGATCATTGTCAATCAATGATTTTAATATCCCCGAAGAAAATGTGTGACTGACTCTTTATTTTATCTGTCACTTCTTCGGAACAGATATCCTAAATAATACCTGTACAAACATGGGGGAACCAACTCTTAGTCAAAGATCATCTTGCTTAATGACATAAATGTCAGGTAACTTCATATTAAATTAAGAAGAGTCACAATACTAGAAGTGGAATGAATTGGTAATTAACACAGAGGAAGAAACTCACACAGAACATTGAATTGCATCCTCCCGAAATCTACGCAACGACTGGTATAGACGAATACAGATTGCGAGTGTTTTTTTCCGAAATGCTGAATTGTGCATAAATTGTTAAAAAACGCTTGACTACCTACAGACCGGTTTCGGACTTTGGCCCTCATCAATTCAGGGGTGTCCCCTGATGACATTCATGACCGCGATTTGGAGCGAACCTGACCTAGCGAACCTGACGAACTAGTCAAGCGTTCCAGAACCATTCAAGCGCAATTCAGCATGTATGAAAGGAACACTCACAATTCGTATCATCTATACGAATCAATGTTCTGCGTGGTATAAAGCAACAGGAAAGTAGTTGTTTTCTCTCCTTATCTTTCTACAGTTTCTTTCATTTTATAAACATATTGTGGTAATTATTTCGAGTTTCTCCCTCTTTGTTAACGTCATGGTTGTTTCAATAGAGGCATTTCAATCTGAGTTGTAGGTTACTTTAATCAAACACCTCGTTTAACCGGAAAGCCGCTATCGAACAATTTTCCGCCTCTGTGAATGATTTTCCATAATTCCTTCTGGACCGGATGATTCACTCATCGATTGTCCAGACCATTCCACACTCTATTGCGTCTCAAACATCACTGCATCAGAATATCAGAAACAATACTGATTCGAATCCCTTCCTCTGTACTGTTCTCCTGCTATCACCACAAACCCAGACAGCACAGAATATTATATGAATATTCAGACACTTTGTCCCTGGTATTGTGTGCTCACTGCTCAAATCATAATATTCTACTTGATGTATCTTTATGTTCCATGATCTGCTTGACTTGACATTTGAAATGTTCTGACGTCTGTCATGTCAATTTTTGTATAACTTTCATCTTCATCATGTGATTCTTTCACTTAATCAGGTTGATTTTGATGCTTCATCAAACTTTTTATTTTGATTTTTCTGAGTTTAATTAACACCTTTCGGTAATTCAAAGGCACTTGGGCCCTTGTAAAATATGAAACCTATACTACCAGAGATGAGTGTATAATCTCTGCCTATACCCCTAACATAATAACATAATTCATAACATAATAAATTCATATCATTTTACAGAGACAGTGAGTTTTTTCATGTTTTTTCACTTTGTTCTTCAATATTGCTTAACCCATTGTTTTCCAGATCATGGAGCATATTTCCCTGTTTGCCATGTTATTAACTATACTATTTGTATGTCTACTTTTTTCATTTCCATGTAAGTACTAAGTAATTCTTGTATCTATATCCTAACTCGATACCGATTTTTCTAGAACTATGATACTTTCTATTGGCTGATGATAGGCTTATATAAGCCCGAAACATATTCCTTTACGATTGATCTCTGATCATTCTTATGAAAGTTGTGAAGATGTCTTTGGGTTTGCATCTATGAACTACACCACTCCACTATTAGTCACCATGGACTTCTTCCAAAGATTATTCTATATTTGGGTCTCAACACAATATCTGTACTATCCTGAAGGAAGTAGTCGAAGAAAAAGTATAGAGCATATTTCAAGATATAAAGCAATTACGCACTTGTGGAGTTAGACACTTGCCGCTACGCGTGCGTATAATATGCGTTATAGTCCAATAAATGAAGGAGGAAAAAAAGGCAAAGTTAACGTAAATTACGCACTATTTTCATCTTCCGGTTGGAAGTAGCTCTTGGTACCTCATTAAACATGAGACAAAGTTTGACTGGAAAACGCGTGCGATGGCGGACCACGAAAATAGATTTTCAGCCAATATCTCCTAAAATATGGCAGTTAGAGATTTTCGGTTCAGATAAAAATTGAAGTTCAGTTAATTTTCTACAAAAATGGTTCTTATCATATTTCTCGAAAATTTGCCCGGTTTCGAGAAAAACGGCACGAAGCGCACCTCGAATAATGAGCTTCTGTGTTGTATATGCCGGAGAGCACAGTCCGTGTATTTACACATCGGCGGGGGGACAAATTATTCAATAACTTTGTTCAAATTGCATATTTTCTCATGATTCAAAGTTCATGTGAAAGAGGAATTCTGCTGCTATCATACCCTGCGTGGCCGCATGGTTTGTAGCAGACGACCCGAGCGCCACGTAGAGCACACACGCGGCGAACGACGGAGGAACGAAAGTAATAAATTATAGCGTGTACATTTAGATATACTGGTTTTTTCCCGGGATATCAAAGGTATGACTTACATACATCGATGGAAAGGTGGGAATTGCCCCGTTACACTAGTTAAGGTGTTTAAATGTTAGAAATAAAGAGCACGGAGAAAAAAAACACCGAAAAAAAAGTGTGTTTTTTCCTCGACCCCGCTTTTTCTAATTTTATTGAAAAATGGACGACTTCGTCTAAAAAAGTAATTGCACAATCGAAAAGTAGACCTTCTTAGCTTTCAAATGATGTATCATAGAAACCAATCGGATCATGTATAAATTTTTAATTGATGGTTGTTCACAAAGTTTCCCCGCGCTCCAAAAACAGCAAAAAATTTGGATTCAATAAACAAAGATCAAATGAAAATTTAAAAAAATTAGGGTATACAAATTTCAGGGATGACAAAGGACCTTATGAGGACCCATAATCAGGAGAATTTTGAGTAAATTAGTGCAATACAAAAAAAATAGGAACAAATTCCTGGCGAGGTCAAAATCGACCGGGAGCAGAAAGTTTGACCCATGTTCCGATATGGCCAAAAGAGTCAAGCGTGACTCAATTCACAGGGTATGATAGCAGCAGAATTTCTCTTTCACATGAACTTTGAATCATGAGAAAATATGCATTTTTAAAAAAGTTATTGAATAATTTGTCCCCCCGCCGATGTGTAAATACACGGACTGTTCTCTCCGGCATACAACACAGAAGCTCATTATTCGAGGTGCGCTTCGTGCCGTTTTTCTTGAAACCGGGCGATTTTTCAAGAAAAATGATGGGAACCATTTTTGTAGAAAATTAACTGAACTTCAATTTTTATCTGAACCGAAAATCTCTAACTTCCATATTTTAGGAGATATTGGCTAAAAACCTATTTGCGTGGTCTTTTGGGGCCATTTTCTCCGCCATCGCACGCGTTCTCCAGTCAAACTTTGTCTCATGTTTAATGAGGTACCAAAAGCTACTCCCAACCGGAAGATGAAAATAGTGCGTGATTAATGTTAACTTTTTCCCTTATTTATTTATTGGACTATTATACAACCCTTTTTATGTGATATACGATTCCGCCTTTGTGAATGATTGTCTAGGTCTGGACCATTTTTCAGTCTATTGGGTTTCAAACATAACTGCACCAGAAATGATCCTAATTTGAATCTCTTTCGCAGTCCTAGTTTCCTGCAGCCGCACAATTCGAGAGAACGGAACTTACTTCGTGAATAATGGATATCCAAATCAGTACGATGGATCAGGTTCCTGTCAGGTCACGCTCACCAAATCTTCTTCGGATGTCTGTCAATTCAGGTAATTTTCTCTGAATTTTTGGATTGTCCCCTTCTCTCGTCTATACAGGGCAGTGCAAGCCTCCTCAAGAATTTCTGTACATCGAATGGTACATACGTTCGTTTTACCGGTTTTAAATCCTGATATCAAGTGGGATTTGAGAATTCGGCAGCGATGCTTCCACTTGGAAGTATCCAGAATAGAATACAAATTCGCGACTTGGCAACATCCAACGGAAAGCAGCCCATGAACAATGAAATTCGCCAGAATTGCGATCCACGAGCACCGAACATAAACAGAGACAATAAGTAAAATTGATGATAAACATGATTTTTCAATTTTCCATAAACCTTTCCACACTGATATCACACTATTCATGATAATTCAATACATCCTTATCAACATAAAATTGCAGCATATACTAAGTATTATACACAGGCTAGTGAATGTTCCTCTTTCGGAAGTAAATTTCAATAGAGAACTCAATATCACGAAACAGATTGCAGTCAACAACGGATACAACGTCAATTTGATAGACAGAATTCTCTCTCAAAAATTTCATAATAAAGCTATTCAAAGAGTTCATCCTACCATCAAGAATAATAATCAAAATATAATAGAACTTCAACCTATTTCGGATCATCAACCGAAAAATTAGCTTAATTTCTGCATGAACCGAACTTGCAAGTAGCATAAAGAACAAATAACACCTTGGGAAAAATAATGAAGACAAAACTTCTGAATTCGAAATATAGAAATATCGAAACTCAACTGTAGAACTTGTCCTATATACGATATAAATCGGTCAGACAGGTCGTACGTTTAATCAGCGCATTCATGAACATAAGATTACTTTTTTAAAAAAGAAAACAAATTCAACATACGCCAACCATATATTAGAAGAAATCCATAGTTTTGATGATAATTTCGAAATTCTACACGTAGAAAATATGGGAATGGAACTCAATCATTTTGAATCATTAGAAATCAACAAACTCAAAAATTCTGACATATTACTTAACGATCAATTAGACCTCAATAATTCACTACTACTTCGTAGATGATAATTCCAAGTTAATCCGCGGTACACCGTATTTTAATGTAGATATTGTGCCTAATTTCCGAAAATGAAGGTTTATCGAACAGGTAACTAATCCTTCCGGTTGGGAAAGTAGAATATACAAAAGTTGAGCAAGCCAAGGTTAGAAGAGTTCACTGTACCAGTATATCACCTGACTAAGCTACTGTGTTAGCGAAACATATCGTGTGTTAGAGAATTTTGTGGAAATCTTATCGTTTGTGAAGTTTTCACATTTGCGATGGATTTCCATCAAGTGACGGCCGAGTTAATTCAAAATTTTTATCCAAGAATCTATCATCCATTTTGGATGATTAGAATTTCAATGAAGAATAGTAGATTGTTTTTTTGGCGAACGCCTAGCAAACGCAAAACAAATTCGCTTGTCAAACAAAGTGTCATTTTTTATCCGAATGAAACATGCAATTTTTTCTGCAACCGGAAGAACTCGAACTAATATAATTGAAGTAACCACCAATGTGACTCACTTGGCAGATTATTATAATAATATAAGTTAGTAAATTTAGAGAGAAGGCCTCAGACTACTTTACTTTGTTACAATTTCTGTTGACATACAATTTGAAAACGGTCGATAAACTGTCACAGCTGATTAACTAGGTCAACAGAGATTACAGGCACGAAGTCAATACTATCCGAAAAGGATGCGATATAGATGCAACCATATCATGATGCAACAAATATTCCATGTGGAGAGGATATTCTACCTGTATAAATGTTTCGTACATGAATTCGCACAAAACACAATGGCTAGTGGGTAGCGTGCTGGTCTGATATGCCAAAGGTTGTAGTTCCGTATCCCTTAATTCACCAACTATTTTTATCACTGTTTGTCTCTTCTCGAAGTGATTGATTCAAAAAAAGTACTGTGCAGGCATTGACAGATCAGATTTATTCAATTCTCAAGCATGACCGAATTGTAGTTTCAATATAAATAGTTATGTGATAGTGTTTCAGTTTCTTTTTTTGTTCATTCTTGATGACCTAGTACACCGTTTTTAGTTCCTAGATGCTAAAGTTCAATTTTAGCTCCTAGAAACTGAGTGTTGCATAGCAACGTGTCTATTTTCGTGTCAGTGATAGAAACGTCAACTTCAGGAGTTAATTTTAGAATCAAAATGGACGACTTCTGCGTCGGTTGCAGAAAAACACTCTCAATATCAACCTCCACTCATGAGTGACACCGCTAACCATAATATAATTTCCAACCATCAAATCATTACAATCGATGACACGCCAATTCAGCAATTTTGAAATTCTATGCGGCTCGGTTAGTTTCCAAGCAACATAGTTAATTGTTTCTGAAAATCGAAAAAACTCGTTTTTAGATTCATTTAGAAATTCCGCGAACTTGCATTCATGATATTACTCTGAGACTTCAAGATGAAGAATAATATATAAAGGGTGTTTCATATCAGAAATAGAAAATTCACTAGTTAGGATATCAAATAGCTACTCCTCATGTTATTTTTCAGGTTGAATTTTGAAATGTTCACGATCATGGGCCCAGAGTCTGAAAACCATATTTGCAACAGCGACCAATTCTTAGTGTCTGGAGGTATTCCGGTACCTGTTATATGTGGAGATAGCACTGGAAATCACAGTAAGCATACTAATCGTTTGTTCTTATAGCATACTTCATCTTTATACAAAAATCTTGTGTCGAATAGAAACATCGAATATATTGAATCGCGAGTTGGAAATAAGTTATTCCAAACATGTTGTAGATACAATACTTTCTCTAACGAAATTTCTGAAAAGGTCCAGCAAGGGCCTGCTCGGGTGGGGAGCAATTACAAATAGACGATTGAAAATAACTTGAAAACTCTTATCTTCAAGCCAACCAATTCTTCACCTAGATTCTGTAATATAGGGATGAGAGAATAATAATAGCTGTATAAACATTCTTCACAAAACACGATTGAAAGTACCACAAAAAAATCAAGTTTATTTCCAATCGGCATAGTAAGTGTTTTATTTTTCTGGTGTACTTTCTCATTCTGAGTAGGAGAAGTTTGTTGGTATGCAACATTCCAAACAATTTCAAAGATATTGTTGATCAAAATTGACAATTACATTGGGTGAACACAAAATGATGGAGTTTTCAATAAAAATAATTAGACACATTAGGTGGAAAGATTATGTTTCACATGGCAGCAAAGTAGATTTACTCGGCTATGAACTATCAGCAGCGACAGTCAAACCACTACTTTGCTGCCTATTAATACAAATAACTTTTCCAAACCAATCAATTTTACACCTTTATTTTCTCACAGAAAAATAGAATAGAATGAGAGAAAAAGAATGACTGCATATTAACTTACATACCTTGTGGGGAAAGTAATTAGGAAAATACGATTGAAAATTTCATACCAGTTATTTTCAACCAAACAGATGCTTTAGTTCGAAATTGTTACTATGCTGAGCAGAGAATTTGGCAAAAAAGTTGAAATTCTCTGGCACTTGACAGCTATCATATAATTAGACAAAATTGAAATAATTTTGACATGGTTTTCATTTTTCGGAAACCTAGTAATAAAATCATATGAAATCAATTATTTTCATATCATAATGTATATGCTACTATACATCCTATTTCACTAGGGTACAGGGAGAGTGAATATTCACTCAATGTTTTATTTTTAAATATAATTCCAGTATAACATTTTCTTATCGAATCCCCCACGTGCATGAATTGATTGCGGGAAATTCGTCTCGTACAAAAATTTTCAAAGATAATTATTCCTGATTTCTGAAAAATGTATTATTAACTGAAAGTAAAGACATCCAATGAAACTAATTGAAATCAGTGCATTAAGGTTCGATATCAATGGAACGATCAATTATTTCAATCTCGCCTTCGCCAAAATCTAGCAAATTGGTGGCATGCTCTAAGCACAGATCCTAAGACGACATTACTCCAGAACCGCCTTCGCCAAATTATAGATCGGGAGTAACGTATTAGTCCAGATCACATGATCATGGGTTTCAATGATTATGGAAGTAATTGGAGAAACTAAGGTTATATCGATTCATCCCAAAGATTCAATAATATTGAACTAGGTAAAAGTTATTTTCTTGCGATTAAGGTCCTATTTAAAAATTAGAATTTGTTAAATTATTTGCTAATCATCAAAAACATGTTCTTTCTCGTCTCACCCACATGTTGTTTTCAGTTCCTCTTTCTCTCGCTCTAGGAACCATTCAGTAGGTTCACCAACTTATTTCAAATAGTGCCTTCGCCACTTTCAAGTCAATGCTCGGAAATGGCGAATGCGAGTAATATATTGTGTTGAACAGTCGTCTTCAGAGATCATGTTGCAGCTGGACGGTGTCAGCACTCTTATTGCAGTAGTAATCAAGAATACCATCATCGTCCATGTGCGACATGATTTTTGAAGACGACTGTACATATTTGTAACTTTTCAGAACTCAACCAACATACCGAGCTTTGTGGAGGAAATAGTAGATTGAAAAATAAGTATGGTTTGAAATGAACTAATGGCCCAAAACGTATATTGATAGAGATTTATCACTCCAAAATTGAAGGAATTTAAATAATTTCCCCGCATAATTTCTGAACGGTAAAGCTACCAGATTGAATTTTCATGCATGAATGAATGTTGATTGATGAAATACTTCTTCCCGAAACATTTCTACATTTCTGATATCATTAAGGGTATTTGTAGAGTGTGGGTCATGATTTTTTTTAGACAGCTTTTTTCCTTGTATTCTTTTTGGTAAAATAATGGAAGCATCTGATAGAGCGGAAAAGACATTACACTAAAATGGTACTCCTATCAAAATTTCAAAATTTGAACCAGTTTTCGAGATACTTTGGTTCTTGTAGGAATATTATATCAGCAGATTAATTCTTCAGTATATAATATTCCACACCTCTAACTTCTGGGCCGGGCACCTCTATTTTTCTTTATGAAACATCATTTTTCACGCGATCTTTGCCCAATCCACAAAATTGTTCTGGAATAAGGTACTTATCGAGCAGGAAACATCTCTTCAAACTAAACTAAAAAACTAAACAAGGAAATTAACAATAACAACATCCACATCATAAACGTCAAAATTGAGAAATAATTTCATTATGGCTTCCTATAAAATATTGTTACCGATGAAAAATTGATCTGCTGATATTATGTAACTACAAAAACTCAAATATCTCAGAAACGTTTGGAGTACCATTCTTATGTTATTTTTTTAGGTCTATCATATTCCTCCTCCTATTTTTTCACCAAAAACAAAACGAGGAAAAAAGTTGTCTTCAAATAATCATTACCCATCTGTATGAAAACACTCTTTATAAGAATATCAGGAAAGTAGAAGTATATCAGAAAGTTGTATTATATCAATTTACATCAATGCTAGGCATTTCAATTTGATGGCTCTCACTGTTTAAAAGTTAAGCTGGAAAATTATTTCAATTTCAACAACTTTGGAAGGATATATCTCCCTCAATATTCATCTTGGGATATTAGTTCATTCATCAACCTATACTTATTTTTCAATGCACAATCACTTTCAGAAAGCTCGGTTCATATTTCTGACTCACCCTGCGTATATATATTCCCTATACATGCCGAAACATAAATTCGAACGATATTTCATATCAGTTGGCCATAAAAGTATCAATGAAATGAATTCTCAAATTCTTTCTAGTTTTCACCACTTTGAACGTGTATAATGTTGGATTGTTTTCAGTGAGATGTTCATAATTTCTCTGGTGTACCAACTTTCCAATTGTTTCGTCAGACTAGCTCTCGATATGAACAATTGAATGCGAGTTCGGAACGTGGGGTTCTGATATTTGATCATAGATGGCGTGAACGATGGACAATTTCTTGAAAAATTTCAAAATGCAATTCGAATCTTATTATGGAGTTGACCCAGATTTTGAATGATGTGTTTTCCTACTTTCATATTCAATAATAGCTGATAAGAAGCATCTAGAGACAGGAAGTAGAAGAGACAGAGCGTAATGAATAATCCGTGTAAAAACATTTTCATCTTGACATATTTGTCACGATGTATCACAAGTTAGTAAATAAACTATTATCACATGATTTTCATGAGTCAGGTCTTCGTGTCGTTCATGAATTCACCAGTGAAAGTCGAAAATATAACGCACCGTTTCCATTTACACAAGAAATTGTGAACTCATATGGATGTGTCATGAAGCCTTTAAATTTGGTTTGAAACTTCGGAAATTCAGCAAGATTCTCCCACGCCTCGCCATTTTCACAAAGTAGGCGATATCGAGAGATTTCGAAACTCCTTTCAATAGGAAGTGATAACAACATATGACTTTTTATATATCTATGTTTTCAGTGTATATTGACGCCGGGGTTGGAGTTGATAGTCCGATAACATTATCCATGGTCACTTCCGGACAATCCTTCGAAAGAAACTGGAAAATAAGAGTGCTGCAGATCCCATGCACATCATTATCACGAGGTTTGTATGCAACTAAAAAAAAAAAATCATCTTCCAAATCATGATTATCATAAGATATATGTGTAGATACTCTAATGGAATGTTCAGAGCTATTTGAATCATTTTAGATCTATGTCACACGCCACGCCACACCAATGATAACGATTGTTAATTTGTGCCAATGACTGTTATTCCAAATAAGCCTACTGCACTTTTTTTATCTGTTGGAGCACACGAACGGATATTTCTATGATCATCCAAAAACATCGTGCGTAACTAGGAAGGAATTTTCTCAAACTTTTGGAGTTTATAAGTTCTAGCGAATACTTCCATTTGCAAAGAATTCTGAAGCTTTGACGTTGGTGAATCAAAAGTTGAGATAGGGACATGAAAGCCGTTATGACCGATAATGAATGGTTTAGACACAAAGAATCTCGAATCTGAACACCTTATATCTCTGTTATCATTCCCGAGATCATTCCCGCTGCACGGGATAGCTGGAGATGCAATGAAATACAGGTGGTTTCATTCGAATATCGACTTCGGATATGAGAGGGGTGACAAGTTTTAGCTGGAACACACTGTATATAAGTACAAAATCTCATCACTGAAATTATATCCATTATCAAAATGTTTTTCCGGATTTGTTGAGTATACTGATATTTCAATGTGATTAAATCTCACATATAATTTGTCAACTTCTTCATCCATCCCTTGTAAATGCATTCTCCTCATTTTGCTCTCAAAACTTGTCTATTTTCCAGCTGAAGAAGGATGTCTGCAATATTTCACAGGCGTAGCAGGCCAGATCCTTTCCTATAATTACAACTCCTTGACAGGAGCTCAACTTTCGAACCAGGACTACGGCATCTGTATTCGGTCCGAGAGGAATTTCTGTGGAATCCAGTACACTCAATGTCCTGATCCTGACGCAGGTACATAAATATACAATGTTTGAATAATTCGCGATACAAAATAACACGTCGTCCCATCTGACGGCAATAACTTGAACACTTCTGAGCAGTTTGTTTCGATGATATGACCAATAAGCACAAACAAAAAACGAATGTGAACCAATAAAATCAAAGTAAACAAGCCGCTTTGACAGCTTTCAAGAACTTCGATAGGTGGCGTACGCTTATTTTTTATCGCGAA